AAAAAATCTTTTAAATTTCAAATCAAATACACATCTTTAATTAGAAAAACCATTTTGGGAAAGCACTTCATTATAAATGATTATTTTAAAAATTAATTCTAAATTTAGCAGAGAAAAAATAACCTTAATTAATCCTCATTTGAGGAACATTATTTATGAAGGACCATCTTGGGGATAAATCTCAATTATAGAGGACCACTTAGGTAATTAAAACTTATTGAAGACTGATCTGGGAAAATATCTTATTACAAAGGACTATTTTGGGAATAAATCTCAATTATAGAGGACCATGTAGGTAATTAAAACTTATTGAGGACTAATTTGAGAAAATCCCTTATTACAAAGGACTATTTTGAAAATTTACTCTAAAATAAAATTGGAGGAAGACGGTGGATACATGGTTCGTATCTCGGATCCGTTAATTTAGGTAGTCGTTATAGGACGGCCATGCGGTTTTATATTCCTTAAATAAAAACAAAAACCACAAAAGACGCAAAATGGAACCCATTATTCCTTACTCCGTACATGCATGCATGTCATGCTCCATAAAAAAAATCACCCTAAATTACATTAAAAATATATACAAAGTTTATAAAATCTCTTCACGTTTCAAAAAAAATGATATTCCACATTCTTATTTCTATTAAAAAATTACTTTTACCTCTTACTTTTTCATACATTATCTGTCACATCATACCTTATTCCTAATAATCTACACATCACATCCTACTTTTACCATCACATCAAGAGTATTTTTGGAAATTCAACATAAAACTATCCTTATCTTATTTTGTCACTTTAGTCAATATGTCTTTATCTTTCTGGGACGGAAGGAGTATTAAATTAAGAATTTCATTTTTTTTCCTAAATTAAAAGTTTTAACTGTGGTAATGTGATACTATATATAGATATTTCATAATAATTTTTGGTAATGTATATGATCATGATTGGAATTGTAAATGCAATTAAACTCATTTTTCGTGAATAAAAAACATAAAAATCCTATTTTGGTATAATTTTAATATTTTACTCCTATTTTTAATCTTTTTTCCTAATAAATACATAGTACTTCCTCCGCCTAAAAGTTTACTATTCACATTATCAAATTTTATACATTTTGTTAGCCTATTATTGTTGTCTATTTAATGAAATAATATAATCATATCACTCCTGGCTTTTAAAATTTTTTGTTTCATTTTTTAGATATGTAAATTTAATATTTTTTTTTAATTTTACACATTTTTTTTATACAAAATCATTCACCGCTTGCCCAACGAAGCGTAGCGTAACAAGGCAGTCAATGCTGCCCAGCTCATCATATCTCTCTCAGCTCATACCTTTAGCTTTTGGTATAATTTATTGGCTGCTGCCTGCTGTGGATGTAGGGGTGTGCACAATTCGGTAAACCGGCCGAACCGTCCCGAAACCAAAAAATTCGGTACGTACCGAAATCAAACCAAATAATTTGGTTCGGTATTCGGTTTTTCTTTTTGCTAAAATTCGGTTTTCGGTTCGGTTTGCCCCAATAATTCGGTAATTCGGTTTTTACCGAATACCAAATTATTACTTCATTTTATTATTTTAAATATTTTGAAGTTTGAATTCTAATCTTGAGTCCTAGTAACTCATATAGTGGTCTACCTTATTTTATTCTTCCTTTTATTCACAATTTCAATTTTTAAAAAAATACTTTATATCTAGCTAAATTTTCTCATGCTTACTATTTGTTTCTTTCTTCTTCAATTTTTTTGTTTCATTTATTCTAAATGATCAATACATTGACCTCACTTCCTAGGCAATAAATTATCCATGGCTAAAGGTAATATCTTTTAAACATTTTTTTATTTCTTTTTTTTCATTTCGGTTTTTTTATAAGATCAAAATCATGTGCTTCGATAATCTTTTAATAATCTGAAAAACTAAGTAATTTATGACTAACTATAGCTAAAAAATATAAAGTATTTCTAATTTCTTTAAATGTTAAATGAAATTGCTTGTGGTATAAATTGAAAATAAAAAAAGTGAAGTATAAATGAAAAAAAATGAAATTTTTGGTTTTTTCGGTATTACCGAATACCAAACCAAAATAATTTCGGTATTAACCGTACCGTACCGATTTAATACGGTCCGGTATTCGGTACGAATATAATATTACCGAAATTTCGGTTTACCGAAATTTCGGTTCGGTTCGATACGGTTTTACCGAATGAACACCCCTATGTGGATGTGGCCGGAGTGGCCGCTAGCTGCTGCGGCCTGCGGCGACCTTCCTTTTCATGCTAGTATAGATATATGATAAAATTTGAGAAGGGTAGAGAATTAGAGATCAATGGGTTGGCCCTACGTAAAATACTTGGATTGAACTATATTAAAAGATTAAATCCAATCGATTATTTAGTTTAATTCAAGAGCTTATATATCTATTATTTTCTTCACACTTTTCCAATGTGAGATACTCTCAATCGAGTCATTTTGAATTTAACCAGTTGACCACTTGAAAATAGACTCTCTTCCCCTTTATTTTTTTAGCACCAACATCTAAAGAACCATGAACCGCTGAGTATGAGCTTACAGATGTACAATCGGGTTAAATAGGCTACAGACCGTGGGATATACATTCCACACGGACAACTGGGCTAAAGACTAAGGTCGTTAGGAATGAACGTCTAGACAGATCGGACACCTAAATAAACGAGGTTAGCTAAAAGTGGCAATGATAACATGATAAAATTTAGAATGGGGTAGGAATGATTAGACTGAGCCCTAACATATTTTGGCTGAGTTAAACTATATTAAAAGATTGAATTAAATCGATTATTTTTTTCAACTCAAGAACTTAAACAAATAGAAGCTAAGATACTCCGTAATATTTAAGAAAGTATATTGCAGAACTCACATGTGATATATGAGTTTAGATGAATCTATATTTGGAGTCTTGGACATGGACCGACGAGCGTGTGATTAACACACTTCTAAATCTGGCATCGAGGAACCATTGACACAACTTTTTTAGAAGTTCAAGAATCATTGTTTCAATTTTTAAAGCTCGGAGAAAATTCGTTCAAATTTTGAAGAGTTCGCGAAACTAACTCATAAATTAAAAAAATGAACGAGTATGTATACACATAAAGTATGCTTACATTATTTCTTTTGAAAGAAAAATATGTTTAATTTTATTTAGTTTTCATTGTATTAAACACTTTATAATAGTCTGTTAAAAAAGAATGAAAAAAGTAAGCACTATCACGATTATATTCTACTCTTGGACATAGTACCGTGCTAACATTTGAATTATATTACTACGTATAAAAATGGTTTTTTTTTTAAATAAATAATTTTTTTTCTAAAATATTTTATTTTTTTCTGTACAAAAAGCACTTCAAATATAATGAAATAGGTTAAAATAGAAACAAAAAATAGACTTCGAGAATTATTTGTTGAGTACTGCCACGGTCCCTAAATTAAAGCCAATTTTCGATTTCACGAACAAAAAGAATAAAATATTGAAAAGAAGAGTTTTGAGTTAATTACATCATCCTAATACATAACTATGCATAATAATACTATATCCGTCTTAATTTTTTTCACATTTCAAGTTAAGAGTTTCAGTGAAATTACTTTTAATTTTATTTATTCGATTATTAATGTAAAACTCAATATTTTACATTTTTAGGATTTTCCTTTAAAAATTACCCTGTAAATGAAGAATTCCACAAAATAAACCATTTAACTTCTTATTGCCTAATAAAATAAATTGCCCCCGTGGGTAGCTCAACTAGTCACCTAGTCGAAGGAGTGAATGTTTAGCTCATTGGGTCAAGTCCGGACATTGTTAGTATGGAAGTTCTATTATTTGTAATAACTCCTTGTGCGCATCGACCATAAGACAACCTCTATAAAGACTAGACTGAGATTATACAATGATTTACGTCCCTCACAATTCTTTCGGGTCGGGTGTACGGGCGCCCGGGGTGGCAAAGCAATAAAAGTAGGATAATTTATGTTAGAATATATAACAATCATTTCTGGGCCACAACCACAAGCTTGACCTTGTGGTTGAATTGGTTCCTTGACATGGTATCAGAGCCTTGATGACCAAGAGGTCACGAGATCGAAACTTACCGCCACCCAGTTTTAAAAAAGAGTTACGGTTTCACGTGCAAGACTCAAAGAGGTTACGCCTGCACGTGAGGGGGCGTGTTAGAATATATAACAATCATTTCTGGGCCACAACCACAAGCTTGAGCTTGTGGTTGAGTTGGTTCCTTGAGAATTTACATATATATGACTAAAACAGAATGACTTTCTCAATATAGCACCATATGTTTTTATTTTCTAATGTAAGACCATTGGTAACTATATCTATTAGTCATTATTCAAATAAATGTCTATCATCAATGGATATTATTCTTTCTATTAGATATTATTAAGTATATATAATTTAGAGAATAAAAAAATCAAGTACTTATGTTTTAATCATATTTAATACAAATTTCACATAAAAGTAAGCAATAGAAAGTAAACAAAGCTTATCCTAAAAAATATATTTATTTTTTACTAGTAGAGGGTGATTGTTATATTTTTTGGTAGTGTTAAAACAGAAAATTAAGGAGCAAGACCGGGTAATGCGACCTATATGATTGTTCTGTGGATCTATTACTCAATTCTAATTAATTGGGATTATCTCAATTTACCTTAATACAGAAAAGTATTTGTTTTCTAATTACTCGGAAGTATTTGAATCATTTTTCGGAAGGGTTAAATTATCTAATTAAGGGTTAAATTTACTCGGAGTATTCTTTTTGTTCTAAATAAATTCTTTTTTTTGTTGTTGCTATAAAACTCTTTTTTTTTACCGAGTACCTTTTCAATGCTCTAGCATTTTTGTTACCTTTCTTTAATCATAGATAAACAAGGATTAAGAATTTTGTGATCGATCAGTAAAATTTTGACTCAATCAAAGTATAATTTTGACTCTTGTGTTACATTAGATTGAGAAAGTGTGTATTAAATTAAATATTTCTTTAAAACAAAGAATTGTTGGTAGATTTATACGGAGTATATTCATTAAAAAGTATGGATTAAAGTAAATGTAAATTTTTGTTTTTTGAACATCCAGAAAAAGGAAATAAAAATAATTTTATAGAACTTAAGAGTATTATTAAAAATCTACTCGTACTTAAATAAAGACTAAATCATACCCCCCCTATCCCCAAATTAACTTTCCCCTTTGATTTTCATTGTCAAGTTTTTAAAACTTTGATCACATATCAAAGAGAAAATCAATTAAATTTTCATATAAATTTCATATCTATAAATTAAGGTTGAATTATAGTTCTAAAATATTATATTTTTATTACTCCGTATAATATATATCTATATATAAATAGATAAACATATATCGATATTACTTCGTATTTGATTCCCCATCCGTTTCTTAAAATATTTTCTTTTTTTTATTTTTCTTAACACATTTCCATTTTCTTTTAAAAAATTACCTTTACCCATACTTTTTTCTTACTCTATCTATTACATTTATTTATATCATATTGTTTTACTAATAATCTACCTATCATATCTTATTTTTATCCATCAACGTTAAAAGCAAAATTAAAAAATCAACAATAAGTATACACTCTTTATTTCTCCTAAAATTTAAAAGGATAAAGCTATTTGTACCCCATGTTTTGTATCCTACTTTGTACCCCGTAGTTTTGCACCAACACTTTGTGTTGGTTTACACTTTGTGTTGGTGTAAAACTAATTTTTGTTAATGCACCAATACTTTGTGTCTGTGTAAATTTTCGTTAACGCACCAACACTTGTGTCGGTGTAAACCATCAAAATGTTGTGTATAACTGTGGTGTACAAATGGGGTACAATTTGTGGTGTAAGTGTAGCATAACCCAATTTAAAATATGAATCATTTTATAAAAGAGAAATAGTACTCTCTCCGTCCTAAAACTTTCTTCCCACTCCCCCTTTTTCTCCGTCCTAAAACTTCCTTCCCATTAGAAAAAAAGATGACAAATGACATTAATACCCTCATGTATTTACATCAATTATCTTCTAATTCTATATTTTGAATGATTGAAAAAAAAAATTTAAAAAAATCTTTTTTAAGAGAGTAAAATTTGAAGTCAAAGTCAAAAATTAAAAATGAGAAAAAGTCAAATTGGAAAGAAAGAATAAGGACGGAGGGAGTATTTTTTATCCAATTTTTATTGACACAAAATTCAATCTAAACTTGGACGAGACCCCACAAATGTCTAGTTGTCTTTACCTCTCCATGCCCATATGAACGAGCTTAATCGTCTTATAAGAGCCGAGCAAAATTACACAACTTTACCATTTACACTTTATCTCATCGGATTTCCAGTACCGACGTTAAACAACGATTTCCCGGCGCCATGAATTCCGTCAACGGATACGGGAAGGTGGACCCCGCCACGGAGCAACAAGCTCCCCGGAAGAAGAAGACCTGCAAGTGGGTAATCTGCATCGTCGTCTCGGCGGTCCTCATCGGCGTTATCATCGGATTAGTCGCCGGAATCGTGACCCACAACAACAACAAGAAGAAGAGTGACGACTCCGGCGATGCTCCTCCTGGCGGCGAGACGCCCAGTTCCCCTGCCGCCGCCGCCGCCGTCAAGGCACTCTGTAGCGTGACGTCGCACAAAGACTCGTGCGTTTCCAGCCTGTCGCAGGTTGCCGGATCCGACGCCACCGACCCGAAAAAGCTGTTCGCGGTTTCGTTAAAAGTCGCCGGCGATTCGCTGACGAAACTGTCTTCCCGGCCGTCGGAGTGGAAAACAGGGGTCCACGACGAAGGCGTCAAGAACGCTTTCTCGGTGTGCGAGGATGTCTTCCGCGACGCCGTCGGGCGGCTGGACGACTCCGTAACCTCCGCGGACGGCGGAGATGACAAGAAAAATCTGTTTTCCGCCGCCACCGTCGCCGATCTGAAGACGTGGCTGAGCTCTTCCATCACCGACCAAGAAACGTGCTTGGACGCTCTGGACGAGATCAAAGCCAACGCCTCGATCGTCGGGAAAGTGAAATCGGCGATGAAAGACTCCGCCGAATTCTCAAGCAACAGCTTGGCCATCGTCACCCACATTCTTTCAATTCTCGGCGACTTCAAAATTCCGATACACCGGAAACTCCTGACCCAACAAAAACAGAGCACCGGCGGATTCCCGGAATGGGTCAGACCCGCAGAGCGAAGACTTCTCCGGGATGATAAACCCACACCTGACGTGATAGTCGACCAGAATGGGTCGCCGGGAAGCGTGCCGACGATCGCGGAAGCGGTTAAGATGGTGCCGGAAAAAAACAAGACGAGGTTTGTGATTTACGTGAAGGCCGGCGAGTACGTGGAGAAGGTGGAGCTGGATAAGACGAAATGGAATGTGATGATGTACGGCGACGGCAAGAACCAGACTATTGTCTCCGGCAGCGACAACTTTATCGACGGGACTCCCACCTTCCATACTGCAACTTTCGGTAAGTCTCTTTGACTCTTTCCATTTCCATGGCTTTTTTTTCTTTTTATTTCATTGAGACTAAAACATATACTCCGTATTATCCACTCTATATTACACTTTATTTGTTTTGTAAGTAAAATTATACGAAGTATTTATTTGAAAATTTAAAAAATGTTAAAACTGTCTATATTTTAAATGTTAAAAATAAAACGTGTCTAGTATTAAAATCTTAATGTACATTCAGATTTTTTTTGCCAACAGTATTCCATTGGTGGTCGTTTACAGTGCCACACTAGACAATGCGAAGACTAACATGTGATCAAACACAATTTATAAATAAAATTTGCATTGGATAGGATTAAAGCATAAGTCATTTCCCAATGTAATACTTAAACTTTTTTATTCTCTAAATAAGACTTAATAATGACCAGTAAGAATAATAATGTCCAAGTGATGCTGGACATTTAGTTGAATAATGACTAATAGATAATGACCAATGGTCCTACATTGAGAAATAAAAACATATTATCTTATTTTGAGAAAGTCATTATGTTTTAGTCTTATTTAAGCAAATTATCCAATTTTTAATGCCAAAATAATGCAATGGCATCGGCCTAAAATGCCAAATGATGCTAAAAAATGGAGTATAATGTTAAAATGTTAAAATGTGTTTCTAAGTGCTTGTTGGTTTCAACTTTTTTCACAAATTCGATTAATTTCTCATCTAATTTGTTCTGATTCGATTAATTTCTCATCTAATTCGTTCTGAATGTAGAGATATTTAAATTATTACGTATCCTACCTGATCAGGTTTCAATAAAAATAAATAACAAATAATAAGAACAAGTACCAAAAGTTTTGGCGTTAGAGAACGAAGAACGAGGATCGGATCAGATGAGAATGGAGAAACGATATATAGGATTACAATTAATTTAGATAATTTAATTTAGTTAATAAGATTAAGGTAGAATGTGAATAGATTATTTTATAAAACAAAAAAAGGAGGTGTTTTTCTTTTCCATCTCTCACAAATTGTATATGGAAGATTGACTACTAGTTCACTTTAAGGATTTTATTCCATTCCTTTTCCTTTACTTCTTTTTTAATGTTCTTCGTTTTCAATGCCTTTAGAATTTTTTGGATTGTTTGTCCCGCCGGAAGAGTCACGTAGCCAAAATTGTGCGTTATTTTCATTCCAAGCACAACTTCAATGCTTTCATTCCTTGACAACTCTTACCTTTTTGTCTCCCAATGACTTAGTCACCACGGAGATCCAATACTTACCCTCTCATAATTTTCTTCTTGTTTATTTTTTTTAGTCAACTTTTTTTAATTTTGACAATAAAATATGGAAGAATATAATTTGTTATAAAATAAATTTAAGATAATAGATTCATTTTGAAATAAATTTTAGATAGAAATATTTATACTAAATAACACTAAAACTTAAATTATTTTTCTAAATAACACTTAAATATATCATATTTTTATTGGATAAAATTATATATAGATCAGTTAAAATATTGTATTGGAGACTGCGGAAAGCAAACAAAAAAAAATACAGTATTATGTAACGGAAAGAATAAAAATATCTTATGATAGTAATGTTGGCACAAGACTCTCGTGACATTGCCCGAGAATGTCACGTTGGCATGCTTGTCAATAGCTTATGGTACTACTGAGATTTTGGCATGCTTGTCAATATGTCATTTCAAATTTAAAATAATGGTAATGTAATTTGTTGTTTTGAGCTTTAATTTGTTTTGTGAATTCTTCTGGATCATGGCGGCGAAATTCAGTGGTTGCTGGCAGAGGATTCATGGCGAGGGACATGACATTCAAGAACACGGCGGGGCCGGAAAAGCACCAGGCGGTGGCGATGCGGTCGGGATCGGACAAGTCGGTGTTCTACAGGTGCGGCTTCGACGCGTTCCAGGACACCCTCTACGCGCACTCCAACCGGCAATTCTACCGGGAATGCGACATCATCGGGACCATCGATTTCATCTTCGGCAACGCCGCCGTGGTGTTCCAGAACTGCAGGATCCAGCCGCGGCAGCCGCTCCCGAACCAGTTCAACACCATCACGGCTCAGGGGAAGAAGGATCCGAACGAGAACACCGGGATCTCGATCCAGAAGTGCCAGATCTGGCCGTACGACAACGTCAACGTCGCCACTTACCTCGGCCGGCCGTGGAAGAACTATTCCACCACCGTCATAATGCAGTCAAACATCGGCTCCGTCGTGAGTCCCAAGGGATGGATCGAGTGGATCCAAGGCGTTGCGCCGCCGTCCACTATTGACTACGGCGAGTATATGAACACTGGGCCGGGTGCGGATTTGAGTCAGAGGGTGAAATGGGCCGGGTATCAGCCCAATCTCAGTCCGGCCCAGGCCTCTAAGTACACTGTTGGATCTTTCCTGGAAGTGAAGGAGAGTGCTTGGTTGCCAGTTGAGCTGAATCATGACACGTCTCTCTAACCTCGGAATTAAATTGAAATTAATTATCAGTCCTTATATTTTAGACTAATTACTTATGCTGGTTCACGAAATTTACAATATTATATTACGCTACCACGATGACATTCGAATTTGCATTCTGAGTGGTACAAGAAACGAATATTAAATTATTTCCAGTAATTATTAAATTATTTCCAGTACTAATTATTTTAAAAAAATAAATGTTTGTACTATTTCATTCAAAAGTTCCATCTTATTATGTCTTCCATAAATATTTCCTCTTTGGAGTAAACAAGTTAGATGTACCAAAAAAAACAAGTTAGATTTGATTGAATGCTTTTTTTTGTTTTTCATTCTACTTTTTTTTTTAGTAATTCTAATATTTAAAATCAAACGATCAAGTAGTGGCAAGAACACAAGAACCAAAGAACGCTACCTCGAGCTTCTCTACATCTAGTGTTCGAACCACAGCTCTGCGTTTAAGAAGTTGAGATTGTAACTCCTGACAAGTTTATCTCCTGATCAAGAACTTTCATTAAATATAGAATTGAGCAGCAAATTTGATCTAAATTCAGTCTCATTTTAAGTAATTGATTACCTTAAGGGCTTAAACAAGAGGGGAAAAACAATCTTACTAAAATGACCAAACTATCAATGGAAAAAAGAAGTCATACAGTAGTTGTTTCATGCAACAATTTAACAACAAAATTATATGACAATCTCACAAAGCAGAGCATTTCTTCAAAGCCATGAAAGGAGAGAGTAGAAAGGAGCAGTGTGTTGGGGGATATAATGCAAATGCAACAGGTGAAAATAACAGAGGAAAATGTTCTGTTAACTCTTTCTTTCTTTCTTTGTTTCTTTCTTATAATCGGCTAAGGACGTCTTCAACCTCTGCAGGAGTGTAGAGATGATAAACTGGGGCTACTTTCGCAATGTCAACGTTATTCGGTGTCACCTTAAACCAACACGTTCACAATGAGTAACATTAAAAAAACAATAACCAATCATGAGTCCAAAACTAAAACTTTGTTAGTCCGAAACTCACAAGTAAGGAAACAATGGAAGATCAATGTGTCATTTTTGGTTTAGACCATTACGAGTCCGAAACTAAAACTTTGTTAATCGTGACTCTTTTAGCTCCATTGGCACTATTAGTACTAATAACACTACTAATTAATAATAATAATAATAATAATACTCTGTAATAGTTATTATTTGTATTACTATCGTCTTACTTTTTCTTCCATGACTTGCTTGAGGATGGTGAGTGCTATTGTTTCGGCTTCCTTCAACGTAAGGTCCTGAAAAGAAAATGAACGTTACAGCGTTTCTAGCATCAAAAAACTCAATTATACGGAGTGGCAGTTTTGGGATACGGCTATAAAATGTGTGCAGAAAGGGTGATGGTTATTTAGAATAAGATTTGCTAGCAAAGAATATACGTAGTATATATACGATGATAGATAGATAGATAGATACAGACCTTGTTGTACTGTTCTTGCAAAGAGCTGTCAGCGCCTTCAGAACCTGAACCAATAGCTTTCGCGTTGCATTGCCAGAATGTACCAGATGGATCCGTGTAGTATCTGCGGGGTACCAAAAGTCCTTTCATTGCTCTAATCCATTTTTTTGGGATAAGCCGCGACGCGACGTAAATTATGCTATTTTAAAATATACTCCGTATAATTTTACGTTGCTGAAATAAAGAGTTGCATGTTTGCGAAACGTGGTTCTTCAAATGGGGTGGGTGGAGATTATACTTGGGAACTGGAAAGAAAGAGAACTACTTACAAGCTGGGGCCATTTTCATCATGACCAGCAATGAGAAGAGATACACCAAATGGCCTTGACTGCAATAACCAAGGAAATAAAAAACACATTCAACATACTAATACTATGAGACCATATAATTGCAACACTTTGTATATCCAAAGACACTTCAGTTGATCATATAGACACAAATTCCTCCAAAACTAAGTACTACCTGCTAAGTGCTACCCCAAGATAAACTTCATAGATGAGAGTGTCGCACTTATCAAGAAAAATGAAATTGTTGGAGATTTCTTTCGAAAGGAAAGGAAAATAAAGCGCACACACAATTTATCCGTTAAAAATGGAATTTTATTGCGAGACATCCAAAAAGGTGTTTTAAAAGAGTAAACAAAAAAACTCGTCAGAATGAGTGTGATTATGTAACAACAACAGCTGAGTATCATTCCAACATTGTTATGGTTGGGGGTCAAGATGTACACCATCTTATCCTTGTTTACATAGTGGTTGTTTTCATTTTGACCCTTGATGCATTGCCGCATTGAATACCCAAAACTTCATAGAAAGGAAGAAGCAAAGAAAGCTAAGACTGTAAATGCCTAAGTAGATGAATAATACGGAGTAGTTAAGTATTTTTCTCTGAATAAGAAGGCAAAAAAAATTACTAACCATTGATTCTTCATCACCCTCACCAAACCGTAGCGCTAAATCACAGAGAGCTTGAGTGGTAGACTCAACAGTCATAGGCTCACCATAGGAGAACCTGTGATTCTAATTACAGAATTGACAAAAGAAGAAAAATCAAAGTTAGCTCCGTCCAGAACTTGGAAATTTCAATAGAAAGACAATATGAAGGAAAACATAGATGAAACTTGAAAGGGAATAAATCGAGGGGAATATAAAGCACTGGTTCAAACACTATATTTTTTCTATGTATTTTAAATTTCTAATACAAGTATACAATATAAATCAAACATATGTCAAGAAATTTAACACATTAATCATATTCCATTCCCCATTGCATTGTTTGAGGTAAACCCGAGCACAGCAATATAACTTTCCTTAGCATTTTCTCTCTTCATCAGCATTTTCAGGATCCAAACATGCCCTTAGTCATTAGATAAGTAGGAACGAAGAGATGATTCTATTAGTTCTATATTTGCAGCCAGCAGTTTAGTGTTACCTGAGTCTCAACACGTGCATGCTCTATGAGTGTCCTTGCATCAGCAATTAGTCCACTCATTGCACACCCAATATGTTGATCAATCTCCATAATTTTCTCCACGCTCCCAGGTTCCTGCAAATGAGGTGGAGTTATTAACCTATACTCCGTAGCAATGAATAACTAAAGAGCTTAAGCTGAAATTTTTTTGATGGTAATTCTTCAGTCTTTACAACTGATTATACTACAAACAAACACCGTTGAGTACAAGAGCCAAAAGAGAAAGATTTTAGCTGTTTGGCTCATGTTCTACGCTCCTCTAATGGTGTCCTCAACAAACCACGTACACATGCAGAGTTACTGCACTAAATATCTATTTTAAGGCTCTATTTGGTGGCATTAATTGGGTCATTGAGCTAATTTTAGCACCGCACCGTAGAAAAATAAACTAATCTCATCAGCATCTAATGCATATTTTCTACTTCCACTCAAGAACCAACACCCAAACTTGAACTCGAATTCAACCCAATTTCATAAAATCCTTAATCCAAAAGCAAATAATAAGCAAATGTACGGTCTTGGACATATGTTAACTTCAATAAACTCCTAATACAGAGGTTAACACGTAGATCGATGTCTTCATTACAACAAAAACAACCAACCTAGTAAAATCCCACAAAAAGTAGGTCGGGGAGGGTGTGTATACGCAATCCTTACCCCAACTCAAGAGTAAAGACATTGTTTCCAAGTAACCCCAGCTCAAACATAAAAACAAAAACAAAGTAAACACCGTAGCACGAGCAAAGATTGAGGTCATCATTATAAAAATATATACTGGTACTTTAACTGAATCTTACCAAGAGTGGAGAAGTGATGCGCTTCTCGACAGCAATAACAACCCCTTCTTTCGTCATTATCCCGATCGCAGTAGAACCAAGCTAAAACAGAAACAAAATCACAAAATCCCATGAAACTTCAACATAGCCGAGCTGCATTTTCATTACAGTTTATCAATTTTATAAATAAAAAAAGCAAATCTTAGGAATACTTTGATGGCTTCAATAGCATATTCCACTTGGAACAATCGTCCTTCAGGAGAGAAGGTGTTGACACCTCTGTCGTACTCGGTTCTTCATCCCCAAAAACCAAATGCAGACGAGAAGACAAGAAAAGAACACAAAAATCAATTCTTTATGAGAGAAGCTAAACACAAATCATAGCGAAGATAGTTCCAGGTCAAGTCAAGAATGGATTTTTACCTCGTGAGAAACATTTCCGGTATGATTCAGTAGAGCTTCGAAATCAAAGATCCTCTCTTTGGTGTCGGGTCGAAGGAACAACCAAATGCTTTACAGTACCGATGTTTCTTACCCAGAAAGAAAACTGTAAAGATATGAATTGTGGAGAAATTAAATTTGGGTTGGGCTCAACTAGACCTTGTTGGGTCTTCTAGTAGTAGTAGTAGTCTCAATTTAAATTTTTAAAAATGGATTGTGATCACATTTAATTTGATTTTAATAAAAATAAGTAATCAATAAAAAATTAAATTGAAAATAACGTGGTTTTATTTTCTTTTTTGGAAAAGAAATTAGTTAATTCGTCCGAAAATTAATCCAAAGCGTTGATTATATTATTTTCCAAGTGGGTAAATAAGAGAACAAATTTGGTGAACAAAATGGAGAGAACAAAAAATAGAAAACAAAACCCATAAAAGGGAAAACAAATAGAGAAAAGAGATGTAAAATGATGCCAAACATTTGGTGAACACAATGGAGACAAGTGAAGTTACATGAGATGGTTATTAAAGGGTAAGCAAAAACAACTACAAGAAGAACTATTTGTAGGATAAAAATTAACAAATGGTTTCCTATTGATCATCTTCTCTTGTCCTCCTCTTCCTCCTCCAACTTTCTTCATCTCTTCTTCATGTTGCAGTTGAGCTGCAGCTCTCCATTCTTCCGCTTTCCGGCGAACATTCGACATTCTCTTCATCAACTTCTCTTCCATATTTGATCTCATTTTCTGAATCTTCACCTGCAAAATTTTGTTTTCACCATTATCATCACAACAAACTAAAGAAGTTGAGTTAACTTTTTGACACCATTTTTGTTGTCATCTTATTCACCAATGCAGGAAATTAAACAAGTTATAAGACATTAGGGTAATGAATAAAAAAGAACCTCAAACTTTTTGGATTGAGCTTCAGTTTTTGCACTCTGGAGGTTCACCCAGGCTTGGATGTTGGCCAGTTCTCTCTCGTACCTGAAACTCGAATCAAAATCAATAATATCTTACAGACATGCACAGACAATAACTGTCTATGTGAGATACAATGGGTGTCAAACTTGGTGTCACTATAGCATCGACCTTTTACATTACCTTAGTCGGTTCGTGGCCTTCGCCTCTTCCTCCCACGGGCCCGTTTTCTTCGCGGGCCCGCACTCGCTGTTACTGGTGATGTCAAAGTGTCTCAAGCTCTTTGACACCTCTTCTTCCTCCTCTTCCATCGAGCTCCAATGGTTCGACGCAAGGGAGCCAACCTGAGAGATATCGATGGGGAGAGGGGGTGGGTCCAAGGGTCCAGATGTGGCGGCGGGAGTGTTGTGGTGAGCCGGGGAGGAGGCCTTCGCCGGAGTGTGGCATCTTGAGGTGGTGGAACTTGCCATTGGTGTCATTTCTGTGCCTGTTTCTCTGTGGCCAATGCCATTAATGCCCTCAAGAATTGCCACATCTTTTGCTGCATTGTTGTGATCCCCAAACACAAACCCTTGTCTTGTGGGACTTCTTCTTATACACTCCATCTCACTTATCCACTTATCTGCATTCTCACCCACCAAAATACATATAATTAAATTCATGTTCTCATATATATCCTTCATATATCCCATTTTTGGATAAGAAATTACTCCATATTATTCAAAATAGCTTTAATATGACAGTAACTTTCAATCTTTTTTTATGTGAGTTTTGCATTTAAGACAATCTGAGCAAAAGATGCATTTGGGGTAACAAAATTGCTCTAAAGACAAGATTTTTTTTACCTTTGAGAATCAAATCTGCTGATGTGGCAAGAGGGACTCCATGGGAGGGTCCTTGAAGGAACTGATGATGATGATGATGATGATGGGCAGCAGGGGAATCATTCACCACCCATTTCTCTGCATCCTCCCATTTGGAAGGGACAGATTTTCTTGAAAAATTCCCAACGCTGAAGCTGAAAATGGGTCTTCCCGGGGTGGAAGGCCCGTCCGCCGCCGCCGCCGCCCCCACATTCCTCTTCCCCCTCCCGCAGCCGCCCGTGGATACCTGGAGGAGCCTCCTGCTCTCAGCCGGCGGCGGGCGCGCCATGTCACCAGAATACAAATCCAAAAACGGGTTCTTCCCCTCCTGTTTAACATCACAATTTTTTTTAAAAAAAAAACTGAAAAATAAATATAAAAGAAGTGATGAAATAATTACCATTTGAAGATCCATAAGTGTTTCTTGTGAGAATAGAACAGTGAAGAAGAAGAAGAAGAAGAAGGGAGATATAGCTAGAAGAATTTAAAGTGTAGGTGGGGGTGGGGGATGAAAACAGAGGAAAGGTCCAAATGGAGTGCACTGAAATGGCTAAAATGCCCTTCTTTCTTCCTTCCCCAGTAGTAACATGCACTTCTGGACCCACTCCTGCTGGGCATCACAAGTATAGACTGCAGACTATAGACTAACCAAAGGGATATGTCACTCTCTTAATTTAGATTACAATTTCTCATTTATTGAAGAAAATCTCGTATTTTTTTTAAATCAAAAGATGAGAATAAAAAAAATTACAATAAAACTTATACTCTCTATGCGTTCACTAAAAAACTTTCTCTTTCATTTTTTCTCTTCTACTAAAACATTTTACTTTCTATTAAAAAACTACTTTTACTCATATTTTTTCATACCCTACTTATGACATCATACTTTTTCATTAATAATCAGTTTATCACATCTCGTTTTTACCCATCATATCAAGGGTAAAATTGGAAAGCCAGCTACGGAGTATAAGTTAATCGTTCCTTATTTTGGCTTTTGGTCATATTAGGAAGTGTTTTTTCAAACAGAGGGATCAGAGTATATATTAAAAACCTGCTTCAAAGGTTTCACAAAACAAGAAATAACAATAATATTTTATTTTAACAAATCATCAATGAAAATATATACAAACAAACAAAAGTTATCGATAAATAAGTCCCACAACATTGTAATATACTTTGGAACGGAGGGATTATATATATATTAACACGTACTTCGTACTTTGTATATACTAGGGAGTATTTTATATGTTATTTCAAAAAATATATATACAAAAGAGTTAAGAGTATGATTTGTAAATCTTTTATAGTCGTTGCGAATCATTGAATACGGGATATTATCATTTTTACATTTTATATTGACCAACTAAATTACTCATATCCCTTAGTAAGTTTTGGATAGTAGAGTAGTAGAGAGTTAGAGACTATAAAAGTTGAAGTGATAGACTATCATACTCTTGTTGAGTGTCTTTGAATCTATAATTAAACTACAAAAATGATACTCCTACAAACTAAAAATAATTTTCTACACCTATTTTAAAACAAACTGAATTAATATAAAAATAAGTTTAATGAGTCAATAACAAAACGGAGTAATAATAATATGACATCCTAATAGGACAAAAAGTATGGTGGAAGATTCGAATTTAGTAAACACTAGTCCATCTAAGTAGAAAATTATATATTCTCTCACACATTAAGATCCAATGCTTTTATTATTTTTTATTCATTAAAAAAATCTTTTATTATTTTTTTACAGGTGAATAAAATAATAGTATTCATAAAAATCACAACCCTTTTGTTCCCTTCAGTTGCATAGTTTTTCCTACCCCCCCCCCCTCCCAAAAAAATACTTTCATCAATTTCTTTTTCAAAAATGGAATATTTAACTCTTAAGAACTTTCTTTATTCTTTCATCAATTTCTTTTTCAAAAATGGAATATTTAACTCTTAAAAACTTTCTTCCAAACAAATTTCACACATTTATCTAAAATCAAGAAGTCAAACAATAAAGTTAATTAAATTAAAAAAGTAATAATGTTAAAATTCATTTTTTTAAAAAAGTAATAAAGATAGAAATTGTGTAGCACTTGCACTTGTTTGGAAAATGTCTCGTTTTAGTTTTCATCCATTATTAATTTATTATTTTTCTTCCTAAAAGCTGTTACCAATTGTGATATAGTGGCATCCAATATTTTTTATCGGTCATATTGAGAGTTGAATAATTAGTGTTAATCATCTTAAAGTCAAAAGTTGAAATGGATTATTTTGAAATTATGTGACTAATAATCATTTGAAACTGCAACAGTTAGATTTTAGGGTTCGTTTGGTATACGGAATTGACGGAATTGGAATTGAATTGGAATTGAAATTCCATAGGATTCAATTCCATAGAATTGAATTCTACCCATTCCAATTCATTTTTTACAGTATCAATTCCAAATCCACATAATTTTTGTGCTACCAAACACCAAAATTGGAATTGAATTCCTCAATTCCAATTCCATAGTTTGAATTCCGTGTACCAAACGGGGCCTTAGGGTTTTGTGTTGGAGGAATTGGGTTGACTGAATTAGTACAAGCTATGAATGGATTCAAATTAAACTAAGGGGGTAAATTAAGGTTTCCCTTGGAAATTTTTTCAGTTAGTATTTTGAATGATTTCTAAACCATATTAGATTAATTTTGAAAACATTGTTATTATCTAGTCTTTTCAAAATGTTATAAAGCTAAACAACAAATTCTATTAATTATCAAACGGTATTAGCATATACGGAGTATGAATGTAATACTCGTAATAATTGAGATGGGCATGGTACGATATTTAGATCGTACCGATGCCGTACCAAATATTTCGGTATGGGATTTTACATCGTACTGATATGGATCCTGAAATTTTGGTTTGGTATGGTTTGAGTGGTTCGGTATCGGCTTTTGTACAAATCGGGATTAATACATACACACCTAATTTAAATTTTAAAATGTCACAAAATCTTTTTTAAAAAAAAAATCAAAAGTATATTTAAATAAAGAACACAAAAGACTAAAAAAATAAAATTTAATGCAAGAAATCTTAGTTATGAGAAAAAGGAGAATCCAAAGAGCATATAGCAAGACAATTCAACTCATTTTGGATGGAAATTTCGAAATCAATTCATTTAATGTTTTGCCAAATTTTGCAACTCAATTTTATTGTTTTGGCTTTTCTCTAAACTGTGTATCAATCCAAACACTCAATTCCAATATGAATCTCATTCCACTTTTTTTCTTACTTTTCAAAATAGTTTTCTTTAAGAATTTATACATTTTTGTTTGTTTTGTAAAACTTTATATTCCCATTATCCAGTATCCAAATTCATGTTACTAGACTTAAACTCTACTACCTCCGTCCCGCTATATTTGTCCACTTTTGATTTTTGGAACTGTTCATCTAAGCACTTTGACTCATCAAATTCTCTCAATGTGTAAGCCCAAATATAATCATGTGTGATCTTGTTTGATTTGTCTTAACATATAGATTATTAATATATAATTTCTATAATTTTTTAATATACAAATTACAAGATAAAATGAATTAAAGAAGTGAATTGGATGGTGTGTAAAAATGAAAGTGAACAAATACTCTGGGACGGAAGGAGTATTAACTAGACTCAGAAATGACTCTAGTTAAAATTAAGAAGAAAATTTCAACCACACAATTTTATTTTTATTTTAATAACCTGAGTTAAATGTGAATCTTTTTTATGCACAAAAACCCAACCACAAGTTACAATCAAATCATAGTACACTTCACATATACCCAGGCAGAAAATGACAAATTACTATTATCACTGTTCCTTCACTGTTACTACCCTTTTTAGTAGCACCACTTTGGTAGAAATTTCTCTATCTTTCATCTCTTATTGCAGCAATATTCTCTGATTTATCTCATCAAAGATCTGACTTCATCACCCAGGAAAGGGAAGGGACATGTGAAAAGGATTCAAGTTTCCTCACTCAACATTACTGCACATATTCCATTTCACACCAAAACATCTTCCAAGAACAAGCCTAACTTAGAAAGGAGAGACTTTTTTTGGGGGAAAAGAATCATATATTACACAGAATCTGTCAAAGAGTGCCACTGAATTGAATCAAATATACAATTTCGCAGACGAAAGGCGAGAGGGGGGGAGGGGATAACCGAAACATGTACAGAAAAAAATATAGGCATCTATCTATATGATATATGTATGATATGATAGAGACAGGTGACCATCATCTTGCAAGCAAAATCATGGAACAACCATGTATCTGTGAATCCCCCCATCCATGGGAAGAATTCAAATGCAACCGCCGCCCTAAAGAATGGGGAAAAAAAAACTGTAGGGGTAGCCGGTAGGGGTATACATATGACCTTTGAGAAGCCAATGCAGAACTTCCAAACTAAATATGCTCAGAAGATGTGCGAAAATGAACAAACCTACAAAATTACTATTCAGCAGAGGTAGGGGCAGCGGGAGTACTCTCTTCGCACAAATCTGCCTGCGATGTGCTGGGACCCACCGCGGTGGAAGCTGACCACTGATCTGGAATCATCAGGAAATAGGTGGTCATGGCCTTCCTGAACCTCTTTTTATACTGTTTAGGTGATATTACGGTTGGCGAAGCATTCTTGGGCCCGCCGAGGATCCCAGAAGCTTTAACCCAAGTTTCCAGATGCTTGTCCCATGTGTATTGTCTCATGAAGTCGATAATTCCGAGGACCAGTTCATGCTTCTCTTCATCAACCCCGACAAGAAGAGAGTAATCCATTACATCAACTGACTGCAACAATGTGGTTAACAAATAAGTGATATTCTTCATTTCTTCTTCTCTACTTGTAAATGCAAATACATTTAAGGGAACACACTTAAACTCGAGCCCCTTGGTGGGGGACTCATTTTTGGAAAATTCATTTCAATGTGTTGGTTGAATCAGCAAATAATGAAATAAAAGTAATACCTCCATCCCAAATTAGTCTTCTCGTGTAAAAATTGCATGGACATTTAAGAGTAAAAGGAAAATAATCTTAATGTACATACCTCTCTGTTTTTTAGTTTGGTAAAAGTCAAACGAAAGGTAGTAAATGTCTAGGTTGTTGAGGGTAAAAGTGCCTTTTATTTAAAATAAGTAAAATGTAAAAGACCAAAAAATGAAATAGAAAGATCATTTTGGGACGTCCAAAAAAGAAAAGTGAGAAGATTGTTTTGGGACGATAAGTTACTTTTTCTGCTGAAATGGATAAAATTAATGAAAATGGCACTTCAATCTTCATTTTAACTTTTAAGATATTCAGCCAATTCATCCATTTCAGCCAGTACTTCAGCTGTTTTAGGCTTTACCAAATGGGCTTATAACTTGGTAACTTACTGCAAGAAAAGCAGTGTCATTCCAGACAGCTCTCTCTAACACTCTCTTGGCTTTGTTTCCGACAAAGATTGGAGATGTTGGCATCGATTCAATCCAGTTTTGATCAAGCAAAACTTTGTTACTTCCACTAGAGTCAGGATTGTAGCGAGACCTGGAAGATCCCTTAAGGTCATACAACCGTGTAATCTTTCTTCCAAATAGAAGATTCT